TTGATTACATCTACACATACAAGGGATGATCATTTTTGCCCTATCAGGTTACATCAGAAGACAACTGTGAGAAGCCCAAATCACAGCCAGCTGCGATCTGGGGGGAACAGTTGGCTAAGCTCAACCGGTTTGTGAAAGCATTGGGTGCCCAAGGCAAAAATGTTAATCTACCCTCAGATGAACCCACAAATTTTGTGCCACTTTCTGTGCCTAAAAGGATTCCAAAACTTCTTAAGTCAACAAGAAGATGAGTTTTTGGCCTGCTTGAGGACTTCTTCCCAACAGGACACTCCTCGAAAATCTCTAATGAAAGCTATCATATTGGATGTTTTAATCTCCTCTGAACATCCATTCCAAATTTCTAACGTTATCAGGGAGTTTAAGCCTGAAAACCATTTGGACACAAAAAGATACCCATGCCCCCCTGGTCAGTCCCCAGTGGTAAGCACTACTACCTTGCAGGGCTGAGGTCCCAGGTTCAAATCTTATAAGAGATCCTACTAGCAAGTAGCTTGTACTTTCTCTGTTCCAAGAAGGTTTCTTCACACAATTCAAAAAACATGTATGTACGTTAACCAGTAACGAGATTGGTAAGATTACATTATAAACTTCTCAACCAATGGTGGTGGTTGTGTACACCGTGTAGTATATGTTGAGACCAAATAAAATTGTGAAAACAAACAAAAGCTTACCTGGAAAGCTTTGCTGAGCATGGTCTCTCCTTCTTTGGACCCAAGAAGATTGACTACAACTTGCCTGCCATAAAGCCTCTTTAGAGTTTGGAAATGCCTGCCAAGAAATAGTGGGGGGTTACTTCATATAACCATAGTCAGTGCTCCCCAACTCCTGTGCAGATTTCAGATATAATGCATGGTGTAGAATCGCACAATTAGGAGCGTCCTATAAAACCCTTTCCAACAGGAAAAAGGACTTCTAGGTAATACCATGTTTTACATGGCAGGGTTAATGTCAATGTCCCACACTCTGGATGTTTTAAGCAATAGCACAGACTTTGCTGAAAATGCCATATTCGCACTTTAATAGGAATCTGTGCTGAGAGAAATGCATAGATGCCACTGTTGACACACGCCTGAAAATGTTGGCTGCCTGGCAGCTGCAGTACAGATATTTCTTCACGACAGGTTTCCTTTAAAACTTCCAGCAGGTGGGGCAAGAGGTAATTTTTCTTGTATTTTGTACATTAAAGGATTATAATGTTTAATTAAAAGCAATTTAACCTGCCAATTCTTTTTTAACACTTTCCTTCTTCAGATGTGTTTAGACCAATCATGTGATATGCAGGGTCCTATTTGGATCTTCTCTCAGCAGTCCAATATGCAGAGAGCAGCACTGACTTAACCACTTCCAGCAGATTCACATAAATGTAAGCAATTTTTTTTTTCACCCCCGGAGGGGCAAATGTAAGCAATTTTAAGGCTTGACATGTTTGGTATCTATTTACCCGGCGAGACCCCGTCTTTTATATTTTACTAAAACATTGGGTATTATATTCTGTTTCTGTGCACTACATTTCATTTTAGTGTATTTTATCCTAAAAATACTTGTTTGATAAACATTTGCGCAAATACCGTGCGACATATAAAATTGCAACTAGCATCTTTTTATTCTGCAGGCCTCTGCTTTCAGAACATATATCATTGTTTGGGGGTCTGGAGCTGTTTTCCATCCAAAAATTCAGATTTTATCCTGTGTGTGCAAATAGTAAGAAATTGCTCCGGAACCCCCCCCCCCCTTCCAAAAAAGACCTCAGAAGTCTGTGTGATACCTATCAAATGCAGGCGCATTGGCTTCAAATCCTCTTGACATCCTCACACGATGAGATCCAACCTTTCCCAAAGACAAGATAAAACACACATGACCAAAGGCACAAAGTTTGACAACAAACCATCGTGTCACAGAGCTGTTATTATTTTATTAACTGTAATTGTCGAACAGGTTTGACTTGCATCTCCTCTAAGTTATTATTATACAGCATTTATATAGTGCCAATAGTGTGTGCAGGGCTTTACACAATGGAGGGAGACAGTACAGGTACAATACAATGTCTAATGTCTACTGTGGAAAAGTAAAGCGATAACTTCTCAGAAAATCATAAAGCGTCAAATAACTGCAGCCCCGGGTCAATGGAAGGGTCAGTAGTACGTGGCTGTAAGTCATGTGTACAGACTTGCTTTGTTACTCAGAACAGCCGGGAAGAGTAAATCTTTCCTAAAGCACGGCTTACACCTATAGATTATCTGCAGATTTTCTATAGTCAGATGGAAGAAGTGCAACAGAGTCCTCTCAAAGCACCTGAACAATACCTGCATCCAATCAGATAGTTTAGGTATTTTGAGAGCCAGTGGGACCGACTAGCAAGATAGTGGAACTTGGGCCAGTGGGAGATTCCTCCAGCTCCTCTGCTGCACTTCTTCCACCTGACCATAGAAAACCTGCAGATAATCTATAGGTGTATGGCCAGCTAAAAGGTGCCCATACACCGTGCGATTGTCGCACAATTTGTCTGCGATCAAGGCTTCGTCCGATAATCTGCCAGTTGATGGGAAATGCAGAACCGCAATTACTGTAAAACTGGCCGAATTTCGTCTTTCAGGCAGACTAGAAAACTTTCGTGTTGGACGAAAATCGAAGGATTAGTGGCATTATCATACAACAAAAATCGCAACATAAACACTGGACAATGTCATACGTCCTGTAGCTACCTTACCAGATATTCCAAAATAATGTCAGGTACTCGAAATGAGGATGGCTCCACTAACAGTAGAACTTTGAATAAAGAGGTCATCAGCACACCAGCATGACACTTTCCAAGTCAGTGCAAATCCATTTCATTGGATAGATGTCACTCAAATATCAAGCACTTTTGGGGCCGCGCAGGGTCAGAGATCCTAATAAGGCGACCCTGCGCGGCCCCAAAAGCGCTTGATTTCTGAGTGCCATCTATCCAATGAAATGGATTTGCACTGACTTGGAAAGTGTCGTGCTGGTGTGCTGATGACATCTTTATTATAAACACGGACAAAAATTTAAATCTGTTCTGTTGATCGACAAAATTCAGCCAGTTAGTAGTGCTGACGAACGATAATCGAAAACTACATAGGTCTGTGCATGATGGAGTATTTGAACGAAAATTGAACGAGGGTGCGATGTCGGGACGGAAAAAAAGTTGTACAATGGTTGTAAGGTGTATGGTCACCTTAAGAGAGATCACAGTTAATTACAAACATCATCAGAGGACATAGACGTCTGTAGTTTGTGATGGCCACCTTTAATTACAAGACACATTGGGGGGAATTTATAAAAACTGGAGCAGATTTGCACTGCAGCCAATCAGCTTCTGTGTCTCATTTTCAAATCCTACCTGAGCAAACTGAAGATAGATGCCGATTGGTTGCCATTGGCAACTGCTCTCGATTCGGTTTGCTCCAGTTTTGATAAATTCCCCCCACTGTTTTTTACTCTATAGGGGCACAAAACACAACAGTTGCCACACTTGCACTGGCCTCATGGGTTACCTGTAAGCCTGGCTGCTCCCAGAAGAGCGGAATGGAACCCCGTATCTGTATAAACGAGGACACGCAGTCATCCAGGTAAATCACCTGCAGGAAAACAAACATTTATCATTCCTTCTGATGAAAAGTACATTGGAAAATGAGTTTATGCTGAAAGATTTCCCCACAAGAACGATGAAATACATGAATGTACACAATGGAAATATAAACCATTCAAACAGAAATGTCATTTATACAAACATAGAATAGAGAGAGTGACGGGTACATCTGCTGTGATGCAAGGTGGGGAACTTGTATAAGACAGCGCAACATATGCAAAGAGTGATGGAGATGAATAAATACAGAGAGGTCAGTGCAGGGTGGAGTTGTGGCCACAGTAACCAGTCAGACCCAAACTAACTGTCCTTCGTTCAGGATATGGAAAGACAACAAATATTCTTCTATTTCTAATAAAAATACATGATTTCGGAGCCCGTCAAAATGCAAGAGAAGAACAATTTGCATCATTTTCCCCAAAACATAAAGAACAATAAGCAAAGTAGGACAATTGAAGGCAACCAACATCTTTTTGGAAGGACTTTATCACACCACTGAAAGAAGCTTTGTTTAAAGATGAACTCCGGGCACAAAAACTTACTTTTAAACGTATTCCTCAGTAGCCACAAGGATATAGATCTACTTTCTGTGCACCAAATGCCTTTGCAAACATAGCTATTACTATGTATAAACAGTGGTGACAGCATTACTGTTCTGTACATAACCTGTTCAGAAAAAAAGAACTGTGGGAAGGAAACAGCAAGCCCCACTGACTGCCGGCTGCCTACAGAAAACTAGGGGGGGTGAGGGGTGGGATAGCTTCCTGTAATCAAGACCAGTCACCGCTGCCCTCTCCTTTGCAGGGGGACTGGTCTTGTCTCCACCCCCTCCAATGGTTGCCCTCTCCTTTGCAGGGGGACTGGTCTTGTCTCCACCCCCTCCAATGCCCCTCACACAGCTCCTCTGAGCAGCGCAGTGGTCCAACCATAAATGTACTTTGCACACATGGAACATAAGAAAAAAAGTTACATTACTGCATATGCTGCATTACAGTAATACATGGAAAAGAATCAATTGGGCTTTAATGACTGCTGACAGTAGCTCAATCCACACTATAAAGCCAACGGAACCTTTTCCATTCTTTTCCCTGAGAACTAAACTGGAACAAGCATGCACATCAAAACTCCTAATCTGCAAGTACTGAAATCACAGATTCAGCAGGCCAGCCAGAGAACTAGCATTTTTAGAGAGGTCCGGAATAGCAGTCGCCATTCTTCCAGTAATTCTCAGCTCTCACCCATTAAAACAGGGCCGGGTAGAATACGGCACCACAGAGTAGTCACCAGAATCTCACCTGCTCAGTTTCCACGAAGTTGGCCACCTGGCCGTTATCATTGGTGCCTCGCACGTTGAACCTTGTCCCGGCACGCTCACAGCTCAGGCGGGAAATAATACAAGCCTTGGCCTGCTTGTGTGCCGCATAAATAGTTCTGATCTCCACTCCTCCACACATAAGACGCAGGAGCCAGTCGTCACAGTTCACTCCGTAATGCTTCAGGTGTAAGTGGAGAGACTGATTCCTGGAGGACAGACAACCAGATTACAACACATTCAAGGATTTTCACATGAAATAATCTGAAGTCTCACCTCCTGCAAGAAAGCGGGGTGCAAGTTCAACAGTGGCATTTAGACAGATCGGGTTAAGGAGACCCTGTCACCAGTATAAAACATTACACAAAGACCAGAAAATATATTTGACATGCTTACTTGCAGCATTTTACCTTTCCATTAAATATTTGTTTTTTTATCTACTTGTAATGCCTTTGAAATTGCTAAAAAAATGTACTACTTTAGGAGAGAGTCAGTTACCGAGCACCCTCCCTCCTTGCACATCACAGCCCTCTCTACTCTTCTGGGAATGTCCAATAGCTTCTGGGGGATGAGTGAAGCTTACTACTATAGAGCAGGGATGGCCAAACTGCGACCAGTTGTGGTGAAACAACAAATCCCATGAAGCATCTCTCTCCGGGAGTCATGTCTGTGAGAATCTTGCAAAGCCTCATGGGATTCATAGGTCCACCACAGCTGGAGGGCCGCAGTTTGCCCATTGCTGCTATAGAGCATTGGTAGCCAAACTTCGGCCCTCCAGCTGTGGTGAAGCCACAAATCTCATGAGGCATTGCAAGACTGGCAGCCATAGGAATGACTCCCAGAGGCAGATGCATGATGGGATTTGCAGTCTCAACACAGCTGGAGGGCCAGAGTTTGGCTACCCTGCTATAGAGTATAATTTGAGTGACAGCTCTATGTCTGCTGGGCCTGCTGACATCACGTCCATGATGGTGGAGCCCAGCAGCAGTCTCTGGGCTTTTGTATGTCTACACAGGGAAAGCTTTTACATGTATCAGAGATAGCTGACCACTCCTAACAAATGCCAGGTTCCTGGTCCAATAACTCAATTCGCTTACCCTGGACAAGCATGCGGATCTGGAGCTCCGACTCCACTCTGATTTTACTTGCGGAATCCTTATTCTAAGTCAGCGACTTACAGTATTGAGGTCATTGGCCACCCAGCAACTAGTATTTTCACAAGTGGATAAACAACGGCACCCAGCATATTTCTTTAACTAAAAGTTATACTGTAAGGATTGACATGGGAACACATTGCTGATGTGCATTTGAAGGTGCACCCTTAAACCGCTGACCAGAAACACTTGTGCATATCACATACCCTGAAACTTAATAGACAGTCCTGTCCCAGGTCAGGGACTTGTCAAATAGTAAGGGAAGGATAGAAATGTCAGCTTTAGAATTTGCCTCATTCAAACCAAGCCTGCAATGGCCACTCCCTTATTTGTACGCGGCCAGGTAACTCTCCTTTAAAAGCAGAACTCCGGGGAAATATTTTCTTAACGCCTGCAGTGGGGCTACCCTCGCACTACAAGGATTAAGTGCTCGTTTTTGTCTAGGTTCAAAAGTAAGTTATATTCACCCCAACCTCAGAGACAGATTGCTCTTAAGACTGGTCCCTTCTGCCTCTCTCCTCCTTCACTACAGAGAAAGTGTGTCCCTTGGCGTCCTCATGTCCTAGCACGGGAAGACTCATGGGACCTTAGACTGCTGGCTCGTAGGATCGGGTGAGTGAGTATAACTTTTCAACCAAGAAAAAAACGAGCACTGCAGTGCAGAGGTAGCCCCAGTGCAGGGGTTAAGATTTTTTCCCCCCGGAATTTTGCTTTAAGGCTCATAGACTAAAAGGAATATCACAGATGGACCTACCAGAAAAAGCGGTTGTCTGTTCTCTGCTCCTGGTTGCTGCGGTGGGCACTGAGGCTGAGGTCCAGACTGACCCCCGTTGCAGACCAAGCAAAGTAGAAACTGCCGGAGTTCAGCACCTTGCGGACCTCAGACATCCGATCTTCTTCTGTGGGATCAAGCCTTAGGGAGATGAACTCCGTAGAGGTGACGCGAAAGACTTCAGAGTCCTGAATCTTTCCTACTGACATACAGCCGGTGACCACCACCAGATAATGTGACATCATCTCCCCTGGAAGAGATTACATTCATTTAATAAAGAGACCCTGTCACCAACTTAAAAGGCTAACTTTAAAAAAATGTATTATTTGAAACGATTACTTGCAGTGTTTATCCTTTCTATAAATTATATTTTATTTGCTTGCAATGCGATTTGAACTTGCTAGAAAATGTGACTACTCAAGAAATAGTCAAAACCCTATCACAGACCCATCCTCCTGGCACTCGCTGTCACTGCCATCGATGAGCACTTATTTACTTGATGGCATTTGCACGGATACACAACCCCCGACACCAACCACACCACACACCCCCCTGCAACAAAACACCAAAGCGTACTTTTTACTTATTGCCGCTTCACTGATGCGCAGTTTTGTATTAATCCTGTATAGTGGAAGGACACACTATTGCTGGTCTAACAAGTGCTAGAAAAATAAAAGTACAGGTCTGCGTGTTCCAGAAAATTAGACTCTGTATTCAATATAAAGGTCCACTCTACCCGTAGAACAGGAGTCCCGGGGGAAAGGGCCAGTTTAATGTCCCCAAGACTTTAGGATGAAAAGGACCATGGCCAGTAGGTGTAGAAAATGCCTCAAACCTGTTGGATAGTGAGAGAAAAAAATGCCTCATGGCTGGTGGTCAGTGGAAGTAAAACAAATTTACCTAGTCCGTGTGGTCAATGGGAGGAGGAAGAGAGCCTCATCAATGGTATCAATGAGAGGAATAGTGCCCCATCACTGGTATCAATGAGAGGAATAGTGCCCCATCACTGGTATCAATGAGAGGAATAGTGCCCCATCACTGGTATCAATGAGAGGAATAGTGCCCCATCATTGTCATCAAGGCGAGGAATAGTGCCCCATCATTGTCATCAATGGGAGGAATAGTGCCCCATCATTGATATCAATTGGATGAATACTGCCCCATTGTTATTATCAGTGGAAGGAATAATGCCCCATTGTGGAAAAAATTGTGCCCCATGAATGGTCAGAGTGGAAGTAATTGTGCCCATCGTTGGGGTCAATGGGAGGAATTATGCCTCATCATTTGTGTATGTGGAAGAAATAGTAGCCTACGGCAGCAGTGAAGAGAATAGCGCCCCAAGTGCCAGATAAAGGCAAGCAAAGGGCCGCAGTTTGGAGCACACTGCCATAGAAGGCACTTTTTCTTATGATTACTATTTAGGCAGTTGGCCAGATCTCTTCTTTCCAGCAACTTCTGGAGGGTGTGAGTTCTCCTTGTGCCCAGCAGATAGATAACCCTCATATGAAGGCTCTGTCAATGTATGATTCGTCATGCATATCCAACACTGCCTAGAGATGTATACATTTAAACTTTTTCCTCATTTCCCTGTATATTTGCTTAGCATTAGATCAACACAATCATGCAAAAGGCTTTAAAACATTCAGTACAGATCCACTTTAAGGTTGCCACTCTTACCAAGATTGAGCCGCAGAACTCCTAACAGGCCATAGGCATCCATGACTTTTGTATATCTGCTCTTAATGGCTTCCTTTTCTGCAGAGGCTATAAAGCAAAAAGACAAGAAATGTTGTTAATGAGACTGATAACACTTGCATATACAAATCACTGTTAAGGTGCCCATACACTGCACGATTCCCGTACGAGTACTGATACATTTTTGTTTATTGTCATGTGACAGTTTTTCTAAAACAATGCAGACTAATGATTTCAGGACAGTGGTAAAGCGCCAGAGCCAGGTCCCAGCTGCAACCCTGGTAGTTTTCATGAAAATGCCAAATATCGGCACTGGTATCTGAACTTGTATCTGGACATCCCTACTTATAACAGAAAGTCCGTGTCTTGGTACGGACCTGCGGCTGGAGAAACAGTCTGCAGAAGCCTGGACATTACACCTGTGATCCCCTAAAGGACAACTATGGGGTCAGTGCGTTTCCCCATAGTTCTCCTAAGGGTCACGGGAGAACACAAACTAGCGTTCTCTTGTGACCCAAAGCTCAGTATACCGCAAGCTACAGCTCGCGGTATACTGAGACGCCGCAGCCGGAACGGATCCCGACAAAACTGTCTGGATCCACCCAGCTGCGGGATTGACAGCTGGCTCTGCCTATCCAGAGGCAGTGCCAGCTGTGCCCGCCCCTTCCCCCATCCGTTTCACCAGTCAGCGGTGGAGGAACGGACAGGGGAGGGGGGGGAATCCCCGCAGGGAGCCACGAGTGACAGTCACGGCTCTCTGCAGGGATAGATCGAGAAGTGAGCGAGCGACGGTATATGTTCGCTCACTTCCCGATCTACTGAGCTGACCTGTGACCGTTTCATTGTCACAAGATGGCTCAGATTATGAGGCTGAGTGAAAAATCACTCGCCTCATAATTCTCCTTTAAAAGGCGGTTGCAATGCTTTGTGGGCTCTAATGCAAAAGATTAATAAATGCACATTTTTTTGTTAAACCAAAGTTGATGCATTTATCATTTGTTTTTGCAGAAGGTGGAATTAGCATTTAACCCGATATTAACAAGTCATCTGGCACTTTACAAACATTGGAAATACCAGTTTTACAATGACATTATGTGGAAGTGGAAGATGCAAACAATGCTCAGCAGGGCTGGTGGTGTACTTCCTGCAGCAAGCCATTGACCTGCTTCTGCGATTTCGGAGTAAATGTGAAGAATGTTATCTCGAGGCGAAACATTTAGATAAAAAATACACCATGTAGACACAAGGTAAAAAGGAAAACCTTAAAAGAATAAACTAAAAGACCTCAACAGTTCCAGTTGCAGTACACATAACAGCTCCCTCCCAACATCATCACATAAATATTATATTTGTGGAATCTGGGTTTACCAAATTAATAACAAAAGTAGGCCGAAAAAAGGTAAATATTTTACAAGGAAAATCACAGCAAGGTTAGACTGCCGCAGTGGTGAGTTTATCTGTCTGGGCGGCAGGACTTGTATGCCACTGTAGAAGGATATACACGTTTATCTGCCATGTTTGTCCTCGGAGTCTAAACATTGGCTGAATGTAGTCCGTGGGATTTGTAGGCAATGATGCATTTCCAGAATATGGCGATGCCAGAGATGTGGATGGTCGATGATCAAAGTAAAAAGGACTGTATTGTACTGGATTGAATTTTGGATTCTACGTGCAATGTGGTCTGAAACAATATAGTGTATTACAGCTTTATTGGAGCTCCCTAGACAAAACGAGAACTTTCCAGTGTTTTTTTTACATTCGAGTTCTTCTTTAATGTAAACAAATGCATAAACTTATTGACTTCAGTAAATGCGAGTGACTAACAAATCTGTATCACACACACAATGCTGTAAACCCGGCAGATAACACACCATGTAGACTTTCTTACAAGACCAGCAGCGGCAGCCAGTTCCATCTGTCACTCGGCTTCCCTCATCATCTGCCTTCTCCCCCCATCCCTTCCCGTCTCCGCTCAGCTGAGGATTACATGAGAGAGCAGAAAACAATGACCGGCCATGTTGCTCTATGCTATTCTCTTACAAAGCTGCAAAACTATTCCAAGATATTCACGCAAAAAAATTACATTTTGCACCATTTCGATCCTTCCTTCTCCACAATCTAAATTATATTTAAAGTCCACCTGCCTTGATTCTCGCCTAGACGAGAAGGACGTTGAACCCGGCACCTGTAGCCTCCTGGGATATCCATCTCACAAATCCCTGGAGGAAAGTAATGTCTCCAGGGATCCGTGTATGTGATACGGATTTGTTAGTCACTCATGTCTACTGAAGTCAATGAGTTTATGCATTTGTTTACTGTAAAGAACTCTAGGAATTAAAAAAAAAAAAAAACACTGAAAAGTTCTTGTTTTGTCTAGGGAGCTCCAATAAAGCTGTAATATACTATATTGTTTCAGACCACATTGCATGTAGAATCCAGAACTCAATCCAGTCTTTTACATTGAACATCGACCATCCACATCTCTGGTGTCGCCATATTCTGGAAATGCATCATGGTCTACAAATCCCGCAGACTACATTCAGCCAATGTTTTTTTTTTAACAGGAGCCAATGTTTAGACTCCAAGGACAAAATCTCCACAAGCTAAATTTTTTAATTAATTTAGAGTCCACCACACCCCTTGCTACAATTCGCGCCTAAGCTAGAAGGACGTTGAACCCGGCGCCTGAAGCCACTTGGGATATCCACCTCACAAATCTCTGGAGACATTACTCTCCTCCATTCCTAAAATTCATGGCAACATGTAAAACAGAAAAACAGATCTCTTAGCATATTTTGTGCCACAACAACAACAAGCCCCCCCTCATGCAACCCCTACTCTACATAGGCTGCAGAGAAGGGGTGACAACAAGGCCACAGAATGCTGGATGTCAGCCGCCTTGTCAGAGAGAGGCTTTTGCTGTATGATCTCACTGGCCACATATACAAAGATCGCAGCCAGCATCACAAGGCATGGGAAGACATTGTCCAAGACGTGTTTGGCATATCGGCCATGAGACAAGATTGAGACAACAGAAGAAGCTCAAAAGGAAGGCGTTGCCTAATGATGTTACAGGGAGATTTGCTTATTATTGGCCAACACAAAGCATAAAAATTACCCCCAAAAAGTATTTAAAAAAAAAAAAAAAGCACAAAAAAAAAATGCAAATATACACGTGTTCTTCCTGGACTTTGAATAATCTGTAGAGGGCTGCCAAAGGCTGTAGAAGACGTGTGGAGAGCTGCCCGAGGACTGTCTAGGTAAAGTATATGCAATATTTTATTTTATTGGAATTGCCACTTTAAAAGCGGAAGTAAACTCTACTTCACGTTGTCACACTATTAGCCCCCATAACGTACATATCTTGTGCAGTCGGCACCAAAATAATCCATTTTCTTCCCCTTGCAGAGATATGACTGTATTCAACCACTTACAAAGCCATCCACAACTCTGCCCCCGGATATATCTCAAACCTTGTCTCAAAGTATCACCCTAACCGTCCCCTCCGCTCTTCCGAAGACCTTCTGCTTTCCAGCTCCCTCGTCAACTCCTCCCATGCTCGCCTCCAGGACTTCTCTAGAGTCTCTCCCATCCTCTGGAACTCTTTACCCTAACCTGTCCGTCTATCTCTCACTCCGACTGCCTTTAGGTGATCCCTTAAGACTCATTTCTTCAGGGAAGCCTATCCCACCTCAACCATCACATTCTCAAACAATTCATCCCCACACAGCTACCTCCTCATGCATCACTGGCCCGTCCCTTTTAGAGTGTAAGAACCTCAGAGGCAGGGCCCTCCTTACCATCTTGTCTTGAATTGTATTGTGATTGTAATGTCTTCCTTATATTGTAAAGCGCTGCGCAAACTGTTGGCGCTATATAAATCCTGAATAATAATAAGATGTCACAATGTCACTTGCTAATGCTCTATTTTCCAGCATCCATGGCCATGTGGGAGAACAGGAGATCACCTTGCTGGGATGAATTTACCTTCTACGGTTCATGATGCTCCTTTTTCCTTTGCGTCACTGAGCTAGGTAACTGCCAGCTAAAGTGGTCAGCGCATGATGTGTTCAAGATTTCGATGATGCCCCTATGAGGGTGGAAGCTGAAATATGGGCAGCAAAAGGAGAAAAGCTTACAAGATGGCGACGGCTTCAAAGTTTGCAGGGGAAAAGGGGGGGACCTAGTAATCTTAGGACTTGTGATCTCTGGTGTGTGCACTTGTTTCATTTTTGTAATTGAGGTCCCGGCTTTTTCTGGTGACATTATGTAGAGTTTACTTCCATCTTAAATTAAGCAAAAGTAGCAAACGCAATTATAGAATTTCCCGTGACTGCCATCTACCAAACTGTGAAAGAGCAAGAAAAGCGCACTGCGTGATTCTTTGGAACACATTCCAATTATAGTGCAGACAGGGGACGTTTATTTTCAAACAGATTAAAGAAGAAGTAAAGTGGGAAAAGAAGGAAATGGTAAAAAGAAAAAAAAAATGGAGCAGAATTCCATGAATTATTTAAAGATGAGGAACTGGAACAGAAATGAATCAAAGCTGTAGGAAGAAGAACAAGCCTGAAGCGTATTGTTTTCATCTTTGAAGCGGAAGGAAGAAATGTGCGTCTACAGTCTCTGCTGTGCTGTAATAGGACTGTTTTATAAGCTGCCGCTGATTGTACAGAGAACTCCTGAGTCACTGCACAGGTACATCTCTATTACAAAGAGCATCACTTTAGACGTGATGTTCTTTGTAATAGTGGAGCTTATGTCAAACACCCCCTCCCCCCCACCCCCCCACACACACACACCCCCTAAAGTTAACCTGTGGTAAGCCCATCACTATTCGAGTTTGTACATATTTCTAACGAGCAGTAAATGAGCTTTAAAACAAGCCTTCACTAACATCTGTTGCAGTAGGCACTGTGGAGCAATTCATCCTCATAATACGTTACAGAAGCACTGAAGTTTTTCTTTTAGCCGCTCAGCCCACCAGGCTTCCTCCCAACAGTGTTTCTGCACTGTGTTTAGGTTGGATATTTAAAGGCTGCTGCCTCTCTGCTAAGAGGGGGAGCAGA